TCATCTAAAATAGAAATGGAATGCTGAGAGCTCTTTTTAATTTACTCCGACAACATGACAACAGAAATTTTGTACAGAAAATATTTATCCAGATAAAGCATCGGCCTATAATTGATCAATTTTCAAGTTACACAAGATTTTCTAACAAAAATCCCATAAACCCGTAAATTTCTCACATATCACTTTGACTTCTACTTATAAAAACATACATCATTATTGGGAATTAAAATAATTCTGAGAATTTCTTAATTAATAAAGTTTATTTTATCCAAATACACAAAATTATTTCAAATTATACACTTTTTATATAAAAACATCAGGTAATTTACATATTTGATTTATTTTTTTGTCTAAAACCATTCTTGTTTAAGAAAAATGAGTAATAAGAAATTAAGCAAATTTTCTACCTTATTTTCTCATCTTGGTGAAATAATTTATTATGTTTAATAAAAAATTTTATTGAAAATTTCTATTTTTAAAACATTAACTCTCGTTTGTACTTCCCCTCTAAACAGGCTGTATGCACTACAGTCATCTTATCCCCTGTGAGAGCAACATTGCAGTTATTTGATTTGGGATTTTTATCAAGTTATAAATGAATGAAAGTTTATAAGTGTTAAATAATAATATGTTTGCTCTAATTGCTACAAATAAGTATAAACAATTTGTAGTGAACAATTAAATTTTAGTAAAATACTTTAAGGAATTCTCTCTTGTTTTGAATACAAATTGCATTTTATAGATGCATTATTTATAGAGATTAAACAAGTCTAATTTATTTGTTTTAATTGTTTATTTGTTTATATAAAATAATATTATTTAAGGCTCTGTTAAAAGTTTAGTAAAGTTCAATGTGTTATAGTAATTAACCCATTAGAGAGCAATATAGAATCATTACGTAACTAAATGTAAGAGAATAAAATAGTTACGGAAAAATTCCAAATAATGGCAATTATCCAGAATGGAAAATCGCAATTTTGAAATAGTACTAACTTATAACAAAATAGTACTCTTTTAGCATTTTGAGCACTAAATCAATTTTTCCATAGACTATAGCTAGAGCATGTACTAGACCATAAACTAAACTATAAAATAGAATATAAACTATACTATTAAACAGAGTGGAGACTAGCCTATAGAATAGTCTATAAAATAGGTTATACACTATACTATAGAGTAGGATATAGACCAGACTATAAACTAGACTAGTCTGATCTATAGACTATAAAGTAGCCTATATATCAGACTATAGACTAGACTATAGATCAGACTACAGAGCAGACTATAGACCAGACTATAGACTAGACTATAGAATAGACTATAGACTAGACCATAGAATATACTATAGACTAGACTATAGACCAGACTATGCACTATACTATAGAGTAGGATATAGACCAGACTATAAACTAGACTATAGATCAGACTATAAAGTAGCATATAGATCAGACTATAGACTAGACTATAGATCAGACTACAGAGCAAACTATAGACCAAACTATAGACTAGACTATAGACTAGACTATAGAATAGACTATAGAATAGACTATAAACTAGACTATAGATTAGACTATAGAATAGACTATAAACTAGACTATAGAATAGACTATAGACTAGACTATAGACTAGACTATAGACTAGACTATAGACTAGACTATAGACTAGACTATAGACTAGACTATAGACTAGACTATAGACTAGACTATAGACTAGACTATAGACTAGACTATAGACTAGACTATAGACTAGACTATAGACTAGACTATAGACTAGACTATAGACTAGACTATAGACTAGACTATAGACTAGACTATAGACTAGACTATAGACTAGACTATAGACTAGACTATAGACTAGACTATAGACTAGACTATAGACTAGACTATAGACTAGACTATAGACTAGACTATAGACTAGACTATAGACTAGACTATAGACTAGACTATAGACTAGACTATAGACTAGACTATAGACTAGACTATAGACTAGACTATAGACTAGACTATAACTAGACTATAGACTAGACTATAGACTAGACTATAGACTAGACTATAGACTAGACTATAGACTAGACTATAGACTAGACTATAGACTAGACTATAGACTAGACTATAGACTAGACTATAGACTAGACTAGACTATAGACTAGACTAGACTAGACTATAGACTAGACTAGACTATAGACTAGACTATAGACTAGACTATAGACTAGACTATAGACTAGACTAGACTAGACTATAGATAGACTATAGACTAGACTATAGACTAGACTATAGACTAGACTATAGACTAGACTATAGACTAGACTATAGACTAGACTATAGACTAGACTATAGACTAGACTATAGACTAGACTATAGACTAGACTATAGACTAGACTATAGACTAGACTATAGACTAGACTAGACTAGACTATAGACTAGACTATAGACTAGACTATAGACTAGACTATAGACTAGACTATAGACTAGACTATAGACTAGACTATAGACTAGACTAGACTATAGACTAGACTATAGACTAGACTATAGACTAGACTATGGACTAGACTATAGACTAGTCTATAGACTAGACTATAGACTAGACTATAGACTAGACTATAAACTAGACTATAGACTAGACTATAGACTAGACTATAGACTAGACTATAGACTAGACTATAGACTAGACTATAGACTAGACTATAGACTAGACTATAGACTAGACTATAGACTAGATAGACTAGACTATAGACTAGACTATAGACTAGATAGACTAGACTATAGACTAGACTATAGACTAGACTATGGACTAGACTATAGACTAGACTATAGACTAGACTATAGACTAGACTATAGACTAGACTATAGACTAGACTATAGACTAGACTATAGACTAGACTATAGACTAGACTATAGACTAGACTATAGACTAGACTATAGACTAGACTATAGACTAGACTATAGACTAGACTATAGACTAGACTATAGACTAGACTATAGACTAGACTATAGACTAGACTATAGACTAGACTATAGACTAGACTATAGACTAGACTATAGACTATAGACTAGACTATAGACTATAGACTAGACTATAGACTAGACTATAGACTAGACTATAGACTAGACTATAGACTAGACTATAGACTAGACTATAGACTAGACTATAGACTAGACTATAGACTAGACTATAGACTAGACTATAGACTAGACTATAGACTAGACTATAGACTAGACTATAGACTAGACTATAGACTAGACTATAGACTAGACTATAGACTAGACTATAGACTAGACTATAGACTAGACTATAGACTAGACTATAGACTAGACTATAGACTAGACTATAGACTAGACTATAGACTAGACTATAGACTAGACTATAGACTAGACTATAGACTAGACTATAGACTAGACTATAGACTAGACTATAGATAGACTATAGACTAGACTATAGACTAGACTATAGACTAGACTATAGACTAGACTATAGACTAGACTATAGACTAGACTATAGACTAGACTATAGACTAGACTATAGACTAGACTATAGACTAGACTATAGACTAGACTATGACTAGACTATAGACTAGACTATAGACTAGACTATAGACTAGACTATAGACTAGACTATAGACTAGACTATAGACTAGACTATAGACTAGACTATAGACTAGACTATAGACTAGACTATAGACTAGACTATAGACTAGACTATAGACTAGACTATAGACTAAACTATAGACTAGACTATAGACTAGACTATAGACTAGACTATAGACTAGACTATAGACTAGACTATAGACTAGACTATAGACTAGACTATAGACCAGACTATAGACTAGACTATAGACTAGACTATAGACTAGACTAGACTATAGACTGGACTATAGACTAGACTATAGATTAGACTATAGGCTAGACTATAGACTAGTCTATAGACTAGACTATAGACTAGACTATAGACTAGACTATAGACTAGACTATAGACTAGACTATAGACTAGACTATAGACTAGTCTATAGACTATACTATAGACTAGTCTATAGACTAGACTATAGACTAGATTATAGACTATAGACTAGACTATAGACTGGACTATAGACTAGACTAGACTACAGACTAGACTATAGACTAGACTATAGACTAGACTACAGACTAGACTATAGACTAGACTATAGACTAGACTATAGACTAGACTATAGACTAGACTTTAGACTAGACTATAGACTAGACTATAGACTAGACTATAGACTAGACTATAGACTAGACTATAGACTAGACTATAGACTAGAATATAGACTAGACTATAGACTAGACTATAGACTAGACTATAGACTAGACTATAGACTAGACTATAGACTAGACTATAGACTAGACTATAGACTAGACTATAGACTAGACTATAGACTAGACTAGACTATAGACTAGACTATAGACTAGACTAGACTAGACTAGACTAGACTATAGACTAGACTATAGACTAGACTATAGACTAGACTACAAAAGTAGCAAAACTTTATACTGATAAGTTTTTTGTAAAAAAGTATAAACCGAAAACGTTTTCCTTAGAAAATGTTTATCCAGATAAAGTTTTTTAAAATATATTAATGCGGATTAAATTTTACTCCAAAATTATTTATCCCTATCAGGTTTTCTGCATAAATAAATATTATTTAAATAAAAGTTAAATATTTTTGGCAACAAAACTTATTATTCTGGTTTCAGATCAACCCCTCTTCACAAATGGGTTAATAATTCCGCATTAATGCATTAAACATTTTGCAAACAAAAGTAGCAACAGCAAAAGTTTAGTAATATACTAATTTTAAAACAAAATACTAAAAATAAGATCAAAAACTGAGAGAAATACTAAATAAAGCAAGTAAACTACATGAAACACAACAGAAAAAAAAAAACTAGTTTAGCGAAATAAGCAGCAGCAGCAACTAACTAACTACTATTGTTTAAATAAAACGATATAAAAGCCAACAAATATAATTGAACAGAAACATTAGAGTTCAATAGCCAGTCAAGTAAAGTGCAGTAAAGCAAAATCAATTTAAAATTTATAATAATTATAATAATAATAAAGAAAAAGAGTAAAACTTTTGCTTCTTTAACCTAAAAGAACAATAAATAGTAAATAACGGAATAGCAAAAGGCAATTATTTTTATTGTTATTGTATAAATATTTTGTTGACTCACAAGTGCAGTTGATTGAAGCTAAAAATAATAAATATCAAAGCTAAACCATGAGAATTTTATTAATAAGTTTATTTATTTTAAGTGCCACACGCAGTTTAAGTGAGTTTTTATTTAAAACAATTAAAATATATAATGAGATTAATTTATGAAAGAAAATATTATAGATGCAGCAACAACATCCAACAGCTCAGACACGGAATCCATAGATGCTTATGATTACGATGAAGATTATCCCGTGGGTGAATTAAACGATAACAATGATATAACTCCAGATCTAGAAGACGAAAATGACGATGAAGAATATTGTGAATGGCAAAAATGTGATAAAGATTTGAGACAAGAACGTGGCTTTAGAAGATTTATCGATGTACCATTTCTCAAGAAACTGGTTAGAAATTTAAGTCCATTTTCCCGTCCTAGACTGGAAATGCATTTTTATCTATTTAAAAGAGAGTTTCCGGACTGTGGCAAAGAATTGATAATGGGAGATATAAATTCATTGTTGTCATCCGGTTTGAATGCGTCAGTGCCCACAAGGTAATTATACGAAAGATAGAATTTTTTTAAACTAAATTACATCCGTGAGTAAATTAACTTTTTCAGAGAAAGATTTTAATTATTTCGCTTTAATGTTTTTAACAAAATCTTTAGTTTTAACTAAATATTGAAAAATAAGTATAAACATGTTTATCCGCATAAAGCTTCCTATATAAAAGAAAGATAAAATTATACGGATAAAGTTTTCTATAGAAAATGTTTATCTGGATAAGTTTTATATACAATATGTTTATACACAGAGGGAAAAAGAAATATACACGCTTGGTACCAAATTGGCACCAAAGAGTTTGTAATTTTTCAATAACAACCGTTGTCAAAGTATATACATTGGCAACGGATTGTTTGCAATAGTGAACTTACCACGTTTGTTAACATTTAGACAACGTATGTGTAAAAAATTTAGATTTCGACAACGAATTGTTGCAATGTTGACAACGTTGCGACATAGTGTTGTCGTACGTATGTATATACTTTGACAACGGTTGTTATTGAAAAATTACAAACTCTTTGGTGCCAATTTTGTACCAAGCGTGTATATTTCTTTTTTCCCTCTGTGTACGGATTAAGATTTCTATAGAAAATGTTTATCCGGAAAATGTTTTCTATACAATATGTTTATTCGGATTAAGATTTCTATAGACAATGTTTATCCGGAAAATGTTTTCTATAGAAAATGCTTATTCGTATAACGTTTACTATAGAAAATGCTTATCCGAATAAAGTTTCTATACATAATGTTTATCGGAGTGAATTTTTTTTATAGAAAATGTTTATCCGAATGAAGTTTTCTATAGAAAAAGTTCATCCATATACAGTTTTCTATAGGAAATGTTTATCCGGATGAAGTTTCTATAGAAAATGTTTATCCAAATAAAGTCTTTTATAGAAAATGTTTATCCGAATAAAGTCTTTTATAGAATATGTTTATCCGGATAATGTCTTTTATAGAAAATGTTTGTCCGGATAAAGTTTCTGTAGAAAATTTTTATCCAGATAAAGTTTTCTGTACAAAATGTTTATTTGGATAAAGTTGTCTATAGAAAATGTGTATCCGGATAAAGTTTCCTATAGACACTGTTTTTCCGGAAAATGTTTTCTATAGAAAATGTTTATCCGTAGAACTTTTACTATAGAAAATGCTTATCCGAATAAAGTTTCTATACATAATGTTTATCCGAATGAATTTTTTTATAGAAAGTTTATCCATATAAAGTTTTCTATAGGAAATGTTTATCCGGATAAAGTTTTCTATAGAATATGTTTATCCGGATAATGTCTTCTATAGAAAGTGTTTGTCCGCATAAAGTTTCTGTAGAAAATGTTTATCCAGATAAAGTTTTCTGTAGAAAATGTATATCCGGATAAAGTTTTCTATAGAAAATGTTTATCTGAATAAGTTTTTTATAGAAAATGTTTATCTGGGTAAAGTTTTCTATAGAAAATGTTTGTCCTTATAAGGTTTCTACAGAAAATATTTATATTTATCCGTATTATTATTGTTATCGACATTTTTTTAATTTTTCAGAATCATTATCCATGGTTGGATGAGTCAATCTCGCGGTTCCTTTAATCGTGATATTAAAAATGCTTACCTTCAGAAAGGCGACTTTAACGTAATCATAGCCGATTGGAGTTCACATGCTGCCAATATCAACTATTTTCATGTAGTAAGACTTATCGAGACCTTTGGAGCCCACTTGGCCAGATTCACTAATTATTTAGCAGAAAAGGCCGATATTAAATACGATGACATTTATCTTATTGGCCACTCTTTGGGTGCTCAAATAGCTGGAGCTGCTGGTAAACGCAGCTGGCCTAATCGTTATAATACCATATTTGCTTTAGATCCTGCTGGACCTAAATTTCGCAAGAAGAGTACCGATTTTCGTATAGATCCTACAGATGCCAAATATGTGGAGAGTATACAGACCAGCCGTAATTTGGGTTTCTTAGAGCCGACCGGTAATGCCACTTTTTATCCCAACTTTGGTAGTTATCAGAAGAAATGCTACTACGTAGGCTGTTCTCATATAAGAGCATATAAAATGTTTGTGGAATCGCTAAATTCTCCGCTAGGATTTTATGGTATAAGATGTTTAAGTCGTAAGCCCGAATGGGATTGTGATGATACACAAGAATATCGTATGGGAGGAGAACCTTCTATACCCAAAAGTGGTATATTTTATGTGGATACCAATGCCAAAGAGCCCTATGCTTTGGGTAGAGCCAATACGGAAAAATAGGGATTAAAATTGAAGGAAGATAGTTATTTAATTATAGCTAAAGTACCTGAGTTTACAATTACTTAATATTATTTATTTATTAAAACTATTTATATTAGTTTAACTGTATTTATTACCCCAAGATCTCTACAAAAAATATTAAAAATATAATTAAAATAAAAACATACATATATGAAGGTATCAAAGAATTTTAACCATTAATATGCAGAGCATGTTTTATAACTTTGTGTTATTAAGATTTTATAACTTTATAATTACAATAATTATTTAGTTTTTGTTTATACTAAAAAAGCATACGGAAGTTGGTTGGTTGCTGCAAACAAAACAAAAAAAACACAAACATTTTACGAACTAATTAAATTTTATGTGAAAACGGAAATATTGTGTACTCAACATTCATACATTTGTAATTTTATAACCAGACAATTATAATTTTGAAAATACATAGAAACAAACAAACGAAAAAAGCATCATCAAAGCCAGTGTACATAACACATACATACATACGTAAATTTTAAGTGAAATGCCTTTGTGGCATAAAAGATAATGCAGTGCAATGTGTATGAGTTATTTGTTTATACCCTATACTAATAAAGCGAGGAAGTATAATGTGTTTATACGGATGTTTGGTAACAGCCCAGAATATAAGTAACTAACTAACTAACTAACTAATCTAACTAACTAACTAACTAACTAACTAACTAACTAACTAACTAACTAACTAACTAACTAACTAACTAACTAACTAACTAACTAACTAACTAACGAACTAACTAACTAAAACATAACTAACTAACTAAACTAACTAACTACTACTAACTAACTAACTAACTAACTAACTAACTAACTAACTAACTAACTAACTAACTACTAACTACTACTAACTAAATAACTAACTAAATAACTAACTAACTAACTAACTAACTAACTAACTAACTAACTAACTAACTAACTACTAACGAACTAACTAACTAACTAACTAACTAACTAACTAACTAACTAACTAACTACTAACTACTACTAACTAACTAACTAACTAACTAACTACTAACTAACTAACTACTAACTAACTAACTAACTAACTAACTAACTAACTAACTAACTAACTACTAACTAACTAACTAACTACTAACTAACTAACTAACCTAACTAACTAACTAACTAACTAACTAACTAACAACTAACTAACAACTAACAACTAACTACTAACTAACTAACTAACTACTACTAACTAACTAACTAACTAACTAACTAACTAACTAACTAACTAACTACTAACTACTACTAACTAACTAACTAACTAACTAACTAACTAACTAACTACCTAACTAACTAACTAACTAACTAACTAACTAACTAACTAACTAACTAACTAACTAACTAACTAACTAACTAACTACTAACTAACTAACTAACTAACTAACTCACTAACTAACTACTAACTAACTAACTAACTAACTAACTAACTAACTAACTAACTAACTACTAACTAACTAACTAACTAACTAACTAACTAACTAACTAACTAACTAACTAACTAACTAACTAACTAATAACTAACTAACTAACTAACTAACTAACTAACTAACTACTAACTAACTACTAACTAACTAACTAACTAACTAACTAACTAACTAACTACTACTACTAACTAACTAACTAACTAACTAACTAACTAACTAACTACAACTAACTAACTACTAACTAACTAACTAACTAACTAACTAACTAACTAACTAACTAACTAACTAACTAACTAACTAACTAACAACTACTAACTAACTAACTAACTAACTAACTAACTAACTAACTAACTAACTAACTAACTAACTAACTAACTAACTAACTAACTAACTAACTAACTAACTAACTAACTAACTAACTAACTAAACTAACTAACTAACTACTAACTAACTAACTAAACTAACTAACTAACTAACTAACTAACTAACTAACTACAACTACTACTAACTACACTAACTAATAACTAACTACATAACTAACTAACTAACCTAACCAACTACTAACTAACTAACTACTAACTAACTAACTACTAACTACCTAACTAACTAACTAACTAACTAACTAACTAACTAACTAACTAACTAACTAACTAACTAACACTAGCTAGCTAGCGAGCAAACTTAAATCACGATTTTTCCTAATTAAATTATATGCTGGGAAACGCGTCCTGTGGGGACATAGACCGATATTACAAGTCTATTCTATTGTGGTATTCAAAAGTTGCACAGTGCGATAATGTTATAACGTTGTACAATACAATAAGGCCGCAAAATATATGGGGATTTTCATGTCAAGTGACCCAACTCAAAAAAATCGATTTTGACGAAATTTGCACGTTAGTACTATTGGAAAGTATGTCAGACACAGATTTTCAGCTCTATCGTTCAAGTACTGCCGGACTTATAAGGGGTCAGTTGGATATATTGGTCATACAGGGTTTTATTCAATTGAGTGTAACTTTTCACATATTGGTACTAGAAGACATCGATTTTTAAAGTTGGTTCACTCGACACAAAATTCCCCATATGTATATGTACATAATCGTAATTTTGTGGATCTTCATTTCGTGGTGTTACGAACGATAGAACGAAATCAATATACTCCCCTCTTTTTTAGTGATGGCTATAAAAACCACTTCAATTATAGTGTGTATTTTAACTAGAATGTGCATTAAAATCTAAAGAGACATTTTGTAAAAATAACATAAATTTTATATACATGGATATGGGCGCTTTATACTCTCATAACGAGAAATCTGTTTAAATTGTATAAAATGCACAATTTAAAATTTAAGTGATTACACCAGAGATTTTCATAAGCTGTCCCCTAAGAGTTAAATTGCATCTCGGAAGTTAAGGTACGGGGAGACAATTTTTAGAGATTTGACAGCTCGAGTACTTGAGCAAGTGTTTGTACATGGATCGGCAGAAACATGTATAAAAATTATCACCGACATGAAGGAAAGAAGGATGTCGTCTAGTCAGCTCATCCAATAGCATCTTGAAATAAGGCCAACACGGCAGATGTTCACGTAAAGCACACATTGTCGCAACATTTGGATCAAATTGGATCGACGAAAATGGACCAGCCGAGATGTTGCATTTTGTTCGTCGATTTTGGTGTCTATTAAAGGTCCTTAAAACCTCTAGCTTCCCTTGTATGGATCTCACAGACAGACGGATAAACATCTAAAATATGACGAATAGTTCAATGAAATGACAAGCTTGATGGTAATTACAAAAATGTTTAACTAACAATATTTTTTGAGTGCATTAAATATGTTAGTGTAATCTACACTTACAGTGTAATATGTCTAAATGTACTTATTTTAATGTTGTTTTACTATAAACTTTTCTAATGTGAATTTAGGGGGTGGTAATGGTGGTAGTGTATCGAGATACTAACTAACAACATAAGGAGTTGACAAACATAAAACAAATAAAAACCGAAAACAGCTAAAAATTAACAGCGACAAGCACGTTCAAAACATAAATATTTTAATTTAACTAAAATGTGCCGAAAACTTATGGAATCGCATCTAAACATAAGAAGTATCCCAGTAAAAACTTTTCAATGACTACTACATATAATTGCATAGATGTTCCTTAATAATGTGTTATATAAATACTTTCTAATCCATTAGTCAGCTTCTACGTGAAGATATAGAAGCTGTATATGTTTTTTCATTCGATTTACCTTGATTGATTTTTCTATTTACTTGTAAGCGGTTGTGGTATATACTTGCCTCCAATGATATCACCACGTTAAAATAATGCTTTAAAATACTATTATATCGGTAAATTTTAGCGGTTTAACCTCTTACCTGGTAACTAAAGATTTTGCATGGTAAATATGTATTTTTATATACATATGTATCTATGTTTAAATTTAACCCTTTAGGAGAAAAAGATAAGTGCTAAAAATAAAACATAACTTTTGTAAAGTGGAACAAAAAATATGTTTTTTGTTAATCTCTACATATTAAGCAGGTCTTGAAAAAAAATTATTAAAAAAAGTTTTGAAATGAAAAAATTAATTTGTTTATACGTACCCAGCAAAAGCTTGATAACCCAGTGTTTACTACAAACAGTCTGTCAGTACTGTTATAATTACTTACATATACTTTATATTGAACTAGCAACAGTTTTTTACACAAACCAAAGAAAATGTTTTCTGTGTGAAAGTTTTTCTGTGCAAACTAATGACCAAGAGGTCCAGGTTCTTATTCTGTCTGAGCAAATTTTTTTTGTAAGTAAAACAAAATAATTTTTAAAATCCCTATTCTTAAGTCGGTATTAATAAGTCATTCGTAAAGAGCGTGGTAAGTACTTGTCATATGACATCCGAGCGTTTTAAAATAATGAGCTAAAATGCTAATAATAAAGATAGCGAAAACCGTTAGTAGTTAGGTGTGTTAAGTTAGTTAGTAAGTTAGTTAGTTAGTTAGTTAGTAGTAGTAGTAGTTAGTTAGTTGTTAGTTATTAGTTAGGTTAGTTAGTTAGTTAGTTAGTAGTTAGTAGGTTAGTTAGTTAGTTATTAGTAGTAGTTAGTTAGTTAGTAGTTAGTTGTAGTTATTTAGTTAGTTAGTTAGTTAGTAGTCTAGTTATTTAGTTAGTAGTTAGTTCGTTAGTTAGTTAGTTAGTTAGTTAGTTTAGTTAGTTAGTTAGTTAGTTAGTTAGTTAGTAGTTAGTTAGTTAGTTAGTTAGTTAGTTAGTTAGTTAGTTAGTTAGTTAGTTAGTTAGTAGTTAGTTAGTTAGTTAGTTAGTTAGTTAGTTAGTTAGTTAGTTAGTTAGTTAGTTAGTTAGTTAGTTAGTTAGTTAGTTAGTTAGTTAGTTAGTTAGTTAGTTAGTTAGTTAGTTAGTTAGTTAGTTAGTTAGTTAGTTAGTTAGTTAGTTAGTTAGTTAGTAGTTAGTTAGTAGTTAGTTAGTTAGTTAGTTAGTTAGTAGTTAGTTAGTTAGTTAGTTAGTTAGTTAGTTAGTTAGTAGTTAGTTAGTTAGTTAGTTAGTTAGTTAGTTAGTTAGTTAGTTAGTTAGTTAGTTAGTTAGTTAGTTAGTTAGTTAGTTAGTTAGTTAGTTAGTTAGTTAGTTAGTTAGTTAGTTAGTTAGTTAGTTAGTTAGTTAGTTAGTAGTTAGTTAGTTAGTAGTTAGTTAGTTAGTTAGTTAGTTAGTTAGTTAGTTAGTTAGTTAGTTAGTTAGTTAGTTAGTTAGTTAGTTAGTTAGTTAGTTAGTTAGTTAGTTAGTTAGTTAGTTAGTTAGTAGTTAGTTAGTTAGTTAGTTAGTTAGTTAGTTAGTTAGTTAGTTAGTTAGTAGTTAGTTAGTTAGTTAGTTAGTTAGTAGTTAGTTAGTTAGTTAGTTAGTTAGTTAGTTAGTTAGTAGTTAGTTAGTTAGTTAGTTAGTTAGTTAGTTAGTTAGTTAGTTAGTAGTTAGTTAGTTAGTTAGTTAGTTAGTTAGTTAGTTAGTTAGTTAGTTAGTTAGTAGTTAGTTAGTTAGTTAGTTAGTTAGTTAGTGTAGTTAGTTAGTTAGTTAGTTAGTTAGTAGTTAGTTAGTTAGTTAGTTAGTTAGTTAGTTAGTTAGTTAGTTAGTTAGTTAGTTAGTTAGTTAGTTAGTTAGTTAGTTAGTAGTTAGTTAGTAGTTAGTTAGTTAGTTAGTTAGTAGTTAGTTAGTTAGTTAGTTAGTTAGTTAGTTAGTTCGTTAGTTAGTAGTTAGTTAGTTAGTTAGTAGTTAGTAGTTAGTTAGTTAGTTAGTTAGTTAGTAGTTAGTTAGTTAGTTAGTTAGTTAGTTAGTTAGTTAGTAGTTAGTTAGTTAGTTAGTTAGTTAGTTAGTTAGTTAGTTAGTAGTTAGTTAGTTAGTTAGTTAGTTAGTTAGTTAGTTAGTTAGTTAGTTAGTTAGTAGTTAGTTAGTTAGTTAGTTAGTTAGTTAGTTAGTTAGTTAGTTAGTTTAGTTAGTTAGTTAGTTAGTTAGTTAGTTAGTTAGTTAGTTAGTTAGTTAGTTAGTTAGTTAGTTAGTTAGTTAGTTAGTTAGTTAGTTAGTTAGTTAGTTAGTTAGTTAGTTAGTTCGTTAGTTAGTTAGTTAGTTAGTTAGTTAGTTAGTTAGTAGTTAGTTAGTTAGTTAGTTAGTAGTTAGTTAGTTAGTTAGTTAGTTAGTTAGTTAGTTAGTTAGTTAGTTAGTTAGTTAGTTAGTTAGTTAGTTAGTTAGTTAGTTAGTTAGTTAGTTAGGTAGGGTTAGTTCAGTTAGTTAGTTAGTTAGTTAGTTAGTTAGTTAGTTAGTTCGTTAGTTAGTTAGTTAGTTAGTTAGTTAGTTAGTTAGTAGTTAGTTAGTTAGTTAGTTAGTTAGTAGTTAGTTAGTTAGTTAGTTAGTTAGTTAGTTAGTTAGTTAGTTAGTTAGTTAGTAGTTAGTTAGTTAGTAGTTAGTTAGTTAGTTAGTAGTAGTTAGTTAGTTAGTTCGTAGTTAGTTAGTAGTTAGTTAGTTTAGTTAGTTAGTTAGTTAGTTAGTTAGTTAGTTAGTTAGTTCGTTAGTTAGTTAGTTAGTTAGTAGTTAGTTAGTTAGTTAGTAGTTAGTTAGTTAGTTAGTTAGTTGTAGTAGTTAGTTAGTTAGTTAGTTAGGTAGTTAGTTAGTGTAGTAGTTAGTTAGTTAGTTAGTTAGTTAGTTAGTTAGTTAGTTAGTTAGTTATATACGAAGATAATAATTTACCTGCACAGAGTAAAAGTCACATTGTTTTGAAATTTGAATTTTAAAATAATTTATAAATTAATACCGTCACATTATGTCAAAATAATGTTTATTTTTTGTAATAATTAATTTCTAATAATAACGTTATCATTTACTATAAGACATCTTGAACTATTTTGCAGTTAAATATAATATTATTGCCGGTGTAAGAGGGATTTTGTTGTTAAAGGTTTAAAACTTAAGCTTTGTCCTTGAGTCAAAAGATGAGTTTGTGACAAATTTCATCAAATTAAAATTTGGGACCTGCGGCGTGCGCACAACGTTTACATGGACACACAGACGGACGGATGTATGGATGGACAGACAGACGGACGGATAGACGGACATAGCGAAATCTACTCAGAAAGTGAAAGTCTGAGTCGATTGATATAATTTAAGTGGGTGCAGGACGTGATACAAACATCAGCACAAGCGCATAATATCCACCCCACAATAGTGATGCAGGGTATAATGATATTCAATTTAAATTTAGATGAGACACATATTAAACTCTATTATTAAAAACTGGTTTAATTTTTTCCAAACACCAAGACTTATTTATAAATTTAGCTTTTTTCTGTTTTGAGTCAGGTCAGTCTATTAATAAATGATCGATATATTCTATATATTAAATTGTTCCTATAATACTTGTTTTCAATCTTTTAATTCACATATAAATGGCAATTCCCTTTCACAATCATTATCATTCCAATCGAAATCCTCCTCCCAGGTGTGTATGCACTTTTCATGACCACTTTTATCATTTGGTTCACCAGCATGCCATAAGAATAATTTAACATTTTCTCCCGTCTCAACCCATTTGAAAATACCATTTATTTTATAGGCACCCAACCAGTAGGGGAAAATACGACCTTTAATTAAACACAAAAAGTACATATTTTATTATTATAAATTATAATTAAATAATATATAATTTAATTTACCATATTTGGCCTTTATAATCGATTTTAAATACTCAAATTCATCATAGTTTTCGATTTTAAATAGAGTCATGCTCATATTTTTACAATAGTCCAATGCATTCTGCCAAGTTAACTGTAAAGAATGAATTTCATTTATTATATTTTTTAACTTTTTTAGTTAAAAAAAAACACTGCAATTTTTTTTTACTTTTTCACTTACAAATTTTTGTTCTTCAATCAAATAAGCCTTATTAATATTTTTAGCTACGCTCACGTTATCATTTAATAAACAAATAAATATTATGTTAATAAACAACAAAAACTTAAGCCGGTCTTTTATTCGCATTTTTTTAAATAAAGAATCACTCTCTTTGAAATTACTTTAACAACTGAGTGCGGCTTCGTTCATATTCTTAAAATTCAAAGTTTTGAAGCTGTTCAACAGCTTTTAAGAGATTAAATAGCCGGTATGCTACACAAGTTTAGGAAGTATGTATATATAGTTATTAACTTTGGTGAGATCAATGGGCTATTGTCTGAGATACATATTTCTTATGAGTATGTAAATTGAAATAATGAAACGTTATAAGTTAATGTTGATAATTTTAATTATATAAAAAAATGTAAGATCTTTCTCGTTTAGGTAAAAGCAATTAATAAATAAAATAACAATTTAATTGTTGAAAATGAAATGGCTTTACTTACCTAACAACATACTTTTCAATGACTACTACATATCGTCTAGATTACATAGAAGTACTCTAATAAGATCTTACTAATAATGTGCTATATATATACTTTCTAATTCATTAGTCATCTTGATTACTTTATTTAATTACTTGTAATCGTTTGTGGTAAGCACTTGCCTCCAATGACATCACCGTGTTAAAATAATGATTAAAATGTTTTCCGATCCCATAAAATATGTTTATTCTAGATCTTTATAAATAGAGGAGCAGATTAAGCGTTGTCCGTATGTACATATGTCTAAAGAAATCAATTTTATGAAAACCCCCAGATATATTCAACATCCAAATCTTCATCCAATTACCTATTATTAGTTTCAATTTATGCCGATTCTCATCAAAGTCAGTAGAGAAGTTTTGACTCGTAAGAAACTTACTTATGACCTTATATAGGGAGTAGGGTCAATTATGGACTGATTCTCATAAAAATTGATAGACCGAGTCTGGTTGTTATATATATATATCTTTTTAAGACAGTATTGAGCGTAAAAGTGATTTTCTGACTGGGACCTTATATGGGGGGTAGGGTCAATTTTGGACCGATCCTCACTAAAATTTGGTATTTTCTTCGCACTTTAACAACAGTTAAGGCCATTAATGCTGTTTTTCGGGGATCCACTTATATAAACGTGGACCGATATTGCCCATTTCAATCCTTTCGTTCGGACTATATTGTGCTTTCAACAGACAGATGGACAAGGCTTAGAATTTAATAAGGAATGACAAAAACAATATATCCCAGCAAAAAAAGACGTGCAAAAAAAGTAGTAAATGCATGGTTGAACTGATAATGAACTGGTTCATATTTAGGGAAAACATGCATGATTTTAACATTAGCGTGTCATTGGCATGCATGGGTTCGTATTTGCAAAAATAGTTCGTCATTTAAATGAGTTCTTATAACCAATGAATATTCGATGATTCTCAAGCGAATTTTCATTGGTGCACTATATTTATTTAAAAATGCATTAATGGTATTTCGATTTAATTATCAATATTCAAATAATTTTTTTGAGTGATATTGACAAAAATAGAATAAGATAAAACATAACTAACTGATTTTGATTGGATTTAAATTCATGCAGAGGAAAAATACCCATTGTGTTTTAAAATCCGTTAAGCAGTCTTGGTTTTTTCCTTCTCTTATTAATGGACTTAATATTACTAATTTTAACAAAAATCTAAAAAAAAATTAATGTCATTTTTAATCTTTATTGTATGAAATGCACGTTTTCGTTAAATCTCCTAAGAGAATACCAAATTACAGTAAAATATTACAATTCCTATAGTGGAGTTACATGAGTGAATTTGGGTGCATTTTTCATGCCTTCACTGATGACAAATTTATTAGAATTTAGGCATGTATTTTAAAACGCATTAAATAGAATACTTACTAAAGAAATCATGAAAATATCCCTTCTTCTTTAACAACTTCAAAATTTTTTGCTGGGATGTTATGTAACCTATGATTACAATCGTTAATTTTTGTATTTAAGTCTTATGTAATGTGCCACGCCCTTATTTTTAGTCAGCCTATCTATTACCCAAATGTTCACATGAATGTCAAATAGTTTTTTCTGATATTTGTGTTTAATTCATGTGGGAGGCTTCCACGCCCCCTCTTTGCTAGCCCATCAATTTATTTTCCAATAATCATATTCATGTCAGAGTTTTGAGGATTTTATCTCTTATAGTTTATCATATATATGTACATATTTTTGTATTTTATTCATATGAGAGGCTACAAGTCCCCCTAATGTAAGTCCACTATTCACACAGATGAGTGCGAAAACTATTTGAACTTCTCACAAAACTTCATATTTTCTTCGTGAAAATTCGAGGATAATTTTTCTTTATGTTGTATACCTGGTAACTTATGTAGGGTATAATAAATGTGAATATCAGTTAATAGTCTAGTCTATAGTCTAGTCTATAGTCTAGTCTAGTCTATAGTCTAGTCTATAGTCTAGTCTATAGTCTAGTCTACAGTCTAGTCTATAGTCTAGTCTATAGTCTAGTCTATAGTCTAGTCTATAGTCTAGTCTATAGTCTGTCTAGTCTATAGTCTAGTCTATAGTCTAGTCTATAGTCTAGTCTATAGTCTAGTCTATAGTCTAGTCTATAGTCTAGTCTATAGTCTAGTCTATAGTCTAGTCTATAGTCTAGTCTATAGTCTAGTCTATAGTCTAGTCTATAGTCTAGTCTATAGTCTAGTATAGTCTAGTCTATAGTCTAGTCTATAGTCTAGTCTATAGTCTAGTCTATAGTCTAGTCTATAGTCTAGTCTATAGTCTAGTCTATAGTCTAGTCTATAGTCTAGTCTATAGTCTAGTCTATAGTCTAGTCTAGTCTAGTCTATAGTCTAGTCTATAGTCTAGTCTATAGTCTAGTCTATAGTCTAGTCTATAGTCTAGTCTATAGTCTAGTCTATAGTCTAGTCTATAGTCTAGTCTATAGTCTAGTCTATAGTCTAGTCTATAGTCTAGTCTATAGTCTAGTCTAGTCTAGTCTAGTCTATAGTATAGTCTATAGTCTAGTCTATAGTCTGTATAGTCTAGTCTATAGTCTAGTCTATAGTCTAGTCTATAGTCTAGTCTATAGTCTAGTCTATAGTCTAGTCTATAGTCTAGTCTATAGTCTAGTCTATAGTCTAGTCTATAGTCTAGTCTATAGTCTAGTCTATAGTCTAGTCTATAGTCTAGTCTATAGTCTAGTCTATAGTCTAGTCTATAGTCTAGTCTATAGTCTAGTCTATAGTCTAGTCTATAGTCTAGTCTATAGTCTAGTCTATAGTCTAGTCTATAGTCTAGTCTATAGTCTAGTCTATAGTCTAGTCTATAGTCTAGTCTATAGTCTAGTCTATAGTCTAGTCTATAGTCTAGTCTATAGTCTAGTCTATAGTCTATTCTATAGTCTAGTCTATAGTCTAGTCTATAGTCTAGTCTATAGTCTAGTCTATAGTCTAGTTATAGTCTAGTCTATAGTCTAGTCTATAGTCTAGTCTATAGTCTAGTCTATAGTCGTCTATAGTCTAGTCTATAGTCTAGTCTATAGTCTAGTCTATAGTCTAGTCTATAGTCTAGTCTATAGTCTAGTCTATAGTCTAGTCTATAGTCTAGTCTATAGTCTAGTCTATAGTCTAGTCTATAGTCTAGTCTATAGTCTAGTCTATAGTCTAGTCTATAGTCTAGTCTATAGTCTAGTCTATAGTCTAGTCTATAGTCTAGTCTATAGTCTAGTCTATAGTCTAGTCTATAGTCTAGTCTATTCTCGTCTATAGTCTAGTCTATAGTCTAGTCTATAGTCTAGTCTATAGTCTAGTCTATAGTCTAGTCTATAGTCTAGTCTACAGTCTAGTCTAGTCTATAGTCTAATCTATAGTCTAGTCTATAGTCTAATCTATAGTCTAGTGTATAACCTAGTTTAAAGACTAGTCTCCACTCTGTTCAATAGTCTAGTTTATAGTCTAGTTTATGGTATAGTATATAGACTAGTCTATAGTCTATGGAAAAATTGATTTAATGCTTTAAATGCTAAAAGAGTACTATTTTGTTATAAGTATAATAATATAAGTACTATTTCAAATTCCAATTTCCATTCTGGTTAATTGCCATTATTTGGAATTTTTCCGTAACTATTTCTTCTCTCACATTAAGTTACGTAAAGATTCTATATTGCTCTCTAATGGGTTAATTACTAAAGACCCCGACTATATTTTCTAAAAATGTTTAAAAATAAAAAATATTTGAAGTTATGTACAAACGCTATAACAAACCCATATACATACCCCTTTCACACTATAATGTAACGTTTAAAAATCAACTGACGATTTCATCTGAGTTAAACTTGTTTTACCAGTATTATCAGTTAAAACGTCGTATGAACCATTACGTAGAGATATATTGCAATGCATCTTATTGTATTGAGTTTGATAAACAGTTAAAGTGTGAGAGTAGTAGCGCTGTGAAGAATAAATTACTGGAACAAATCTGCAAAAAAATATAAATTTTTTTTTGCAAATGCTTTAACAAAGGATTTATTTAATCTTTAATAAAATTCTTTGAATACAAGTAATACCAGTAAATTTATTGATTTCTTAAGAAAACAATTAATTTGGAATGAGGGCGTTTTAAACACCCCAAAAAGTCCCCCAAAAAAATATTATATTGGAATCACTTATCCGTCTGTCTGTATGTAAAATTTCTCAAGACCCTAATATTTTTGCGATCTAAGTATTGTCAAAACAAAAGCCGAACACTTTATTGTTATATGTATATTGTTGTTGCTAGTTTTTATACGCAAGGCTTCATAGAAATAACTTCAATCTCAAGCGTAGCATTAACGCATTTCTTTCACCCTAATTATGTTATCACAATAAAGAAAACCACAAGAAGACCTTGCAATTAACTTTAACCATTCAATCAAATTTTATATCCTCGATTTTCCACCCAAATATTTTCGTATGCAAAACTAGTAATAAAGAATTTTACTATTATTGTTAAATGCTCATTTAAATTTAAATTGTTCTGCCATCCCTCCGACCACAAAAATCGGTTCAGTGGTTTAAGAATTTCAACCATTATTTCCTACAAAATCAGTAATCAGAAAAAAAACCAACAGTCACTAGCTAGTA